TGGCTTGCGAATACAAGGCATTCAGTAAGCTTTGGATATCGATATCATCATGGGTGTGCTGTGCTGACCCAGGGATTCTCATGGTCATCAGGAGCCTCTCGGACCGATATCACGCGACGCTGCTGCGTCTCACGCTCAGAAAGCTGTGTCACGCGGTAAGCACCCTTCTCACTTCTCTGCAGCATACACAGCCTGCAAAGCTGATGCAAATCTTCCAGTAACGTTTTCTCGGGCTGTCAGAGTCTGCTGAGGAGAACCTGTTTGATCTTCGGCTTGTACACAATCAGCATATGATTGAGCGACATCCCAACTGTGGGTGAGACGCTCATTTACGGCGGGTTAATTCTTGTCAAAGACAGATGGCCCATTGAAGAGATGTCTGTATAGCGATCAATTTGAAACTTATACGACTCCCTGCTGACCACATTGCGTCTAGACCTCTCTCCACGCTCCACTCACCTCCAGGCCGTGTTGGGCAGCCTTAGCCCGCGTTCCGGATGGAAAGCACATGCGCAAGTGTCGCGCAGATCTATCAGGAGCCAAGATGTTACTTCGCACTGTGAGCTAGACGGTTATCGGGCTACACCATATCGGTCGTCACCATGTCGAGACCGACGGCGGAAGTGATGTCGCCGGTGCACAACATAGGACCTCATCAGCTTCTTGCTATGCGTCCATCATCCATGTGAGCAACGAAGTCGAGCGAACGCTGCGACACGCATCAGTCGACGCAAGCACTGTGTGGTGCACTGTCTCGTTACGTCGACTTCTCGAGGACCGGGGATTCGCGGCTCGGACAGGGCCTGCCTCCCCGATGGCGTATCTCACAACGCTCTCCCAGGTTGAACTGCCTGTCGTGCGGTGCCAAGCTGCCAATTCAACCCACGACATGCCAGGGATCCCGCGAAGCGCGAACGAGGGCCCATTACGTCCATCTGCAACTGCCACGTCAGGCGAACGGATCATCCAGATCTCTGTATGTCGAGACTCCCCTCGGCGACTAGCATTCACGAACTCTGCACTGTGGTCTCCATCGAACAGGACATGCAACTCGGCATCAGTCCAGGACGCATGCACGCATATAGGAGCGGCGCTCCTCCGCGGTCTCGACTGCACCCCCTTCCGTACCATAGGACGTCCCCGCGCCATTGGTCATCCTTGCCATGGCGTCGTCCTTCGCGTTGCTCATGGGCCCGCTTCTGGTGCTCGTCTGTCTTGCGCTCATGTGTGTAGACGCCTTCCTTCCGCCGCGACCTCCGCTAACTTGTTCTCCTTCGGGTGCACGGCAGTCTATTCGGGATCTTCACCGCCCAAGTCTATTACTATTGGTCGACCTACGAGAAAGATTCGCGTCTCGTCCGGGGCTTCGTGCTGCTGTTGTGGTACGCACCTGGGGATGCTCGCGTTGCCCCGGGGACAGTGCTCACTCGACCTGGTGCTGTCAAGGTTCCTCGAGTGCTTGCACACCACCTTCTGCATCTGCATGCTGTACACTTATTTTATCGACCATTTCGGCGATACGGGCGAAGTCGAGCGGATTGTCTGGTGAGTGCGCAGTTTGCCTCACGGCGCGACTGCCCGCTGAAAGCACGGTCTTGTGCGACAGGAGCGCAGTGGTGCGTACATGTTCCTTCTCACTGGCAGTCATCATCGATCGAGATCTTTCCTGTCGCTCTGCAGCTTACAGTCATTCTGGAGGTATATATTTTGTACAACCGTCTGCAGTGCTCCGATTTAACGTCTTTTCCAGATAATGATCGTGTCTATGACCCAAGCGTACGTCCTTCCCTTCCCACTACCTGATTAATCGACCTGACGGTTCTTTTAGATTCTACATTTATCGCATCTGGAAGTGCAAGTGCTGCCTCCCTTTTCGCGTCAGTATGTAACGCTAAATTAGCTCCAAACAGTGAGCAAGCGAAACTTCCTAGTCGCGTCTGTCCCGGTGCGTGTTCCAGAGAGCGAAGAAATTGCGTGTGCTGACGTCTCACATTGTCTTAGGCCATCGCCTTGTTTGCTCGTGTTGGTCAGTCGACTCGACGTTCTTCTCTTGTTCTCGCTAAACCGGGCTGACCACCGTCTGCGCAGTGCTGGGCTACAGTAAGCGCCTCAAACGTGTCACGAGACAATCCTTCACTGACGCACGTCTACAGTCGCGACAGGCTTCTTGTGAGTCTCGCACGAGCTTGGTGCCCCACGTTCGTTCCCCCTGACGAAGGCGGCCAGATATTCCTGCAAGACGTGGACTGCTTTCCGCCAGAGGCAAGGCCCTGTGGTACGCCCTTCGTGTCGCGAGAGGTCGTCGGGACTGTCGTTGCTGAGACTGAACTGCAAAAAGCTCACCCTGAACGTCGCGTTGAGCTGCGGCGGCCTTGTCGACCTCGTCACCACGGGACTGCTCACCTTCTATCTGTGGCGCAGTCGCTCGGCGTTTCCGCGGTGCGTCTGCTGCTTCCGAGTGCGTCTCAATGCCTTGCCGACACATTAACTGCAGCACGCAACACATCGTTGACAAGCTCTTGCATTTTGCGCTCAACACTGGAGCTCTCACGATGTAAAAACGACGCTTGCCTCTGCATGTAGCTGGGCTAATGTTTCTACGTAGGATATTCTCAATGGCAATCCTCTTCACTGTGGGTGTAGCTCCTTGTATTCCAAGCATGCGCTTCTCATCACAAAGAGATGCTCAGTACAATCTCGTAACTACGAGCCTGATCTGGGCTGGCATGGTCGAGATAGTCAGCAAACGTGAGTCATTCCTCTGCTTGGATCATGTTGTCTGCTGATTTCCCCATTGTAGTATATGCCAACTCTATGCTTGCCATGTAAGCGCCATTCGACAGCACAAATCACCTATTCACGCTCAATCGCGCACCTTCTAGGCTCAACGCCCGGAACAACCTCCGGAACGCAGGCTCTACTAACGAAAGCACAGCATCAGCGGGGACCTTTAGACATCAGGATGTCAAGGCGGCCCACGCGCGGGCTGGCCTCCGAGGCTGTGCGAGTGGACGTCTTCAAGGAGACCGTCAGGGTGACCGACTTTGACGTGAGCCGTCGCCTCTCGAGACGTGTGCGTCGCCCACACGCGCTGACAGCGCCTTCTCTCGCTTCTATCTCGCAGCATGCTGGCACCAACGACGCCGGAGCCCGCGACGACCTGCGTGGCTCTGCGAAGGATCCAGAAGCGTTCGTGTACCCGCTGAGGCCTGGCTCGACGGACTGAGACCCGGCCATGCTGTGTAGGCGGCCGCTTCTGATATCAAAATGTGTTGTACCCTAATTACACTGGCTTCTATGGATGTTCCCGATGATTGATTAACCTTTGTGTTGAGTCGCTGTCTGGATGGCACGATCCACTGGCAGCGCTGGCGAGATGCCAGCTGGACGTGCGTGCAAGGATCATGATAGAAGGTAACCAGAGTCACCACACCGACGCGTGATGCTCCTTCTGCGCCCTTTACGCCGTGGCTTACCCATGAAAATCTGTGAAGCTTGTGAAGTTTGGCGGAAGCGACCGGAAGTTTTCCCATGCGTATCAACGCTGTGCTCTGGTTTCAGCTTGTTTTGATCGGCCTCCTGCCACATCCCCGAAGGAAGGAGCATGGTTTTTATCTACCATGACACCCCGCAGATTCCCCGAACACTCGGAGATGCCCATGAGAGTCGCTGCCAGAATGGACCTGACACACCGTCACGCGCATCGGAGGCTCGAGTGTACCAGCGAGGCGACGGCAAGCAGTGCCGAACGCGAGACGGGTGAGACTTGGCAAACATGGAGCAGGCACGGTGGGCGACGCCACAAAGCTTTCGGGGCATGCCGGCTTGGGCTCGCTGGACAGCGCGGCCTTGCCGTCCATTCGCCCTTCTCAAAGTCCGAAATTCAAACTGTTGTCTTCCCCGGAGACGTTTCTCCGAGCTCCATCTTTGCACGGACCCACGCTCATGTCCAGAACCGCTTGTCGCGCAGAGTCCGCGGGGTTGGGTGCAACAGCGAATGAAAACACTGAGACATGAGCGGCCTGCGCTGTGTATTAGAGCACCCGGGCCCCGGACGGACGACCCTCTCTTAATCGTCCTCGACCCGCCGCTCTCAGCACTGCCGCCATGTCTCCCAACCCTGTCCGACCCCCACTCGACGGCTCGATCCCCGTCATCCCGGCGTTCATCGACTTTCATGCCGAGCACAACCCCGACCGACCCTGGGCCATCCTCTCTGCTGGCCATGAGAAGCCCAGCGAGGCCGTCTCGTTCGCTGAATTCGCCCGCGCTACCCATCGAGTCGCCCACAAGCTGCGGCCAGACAGGTCGGGGCCCGAGAACGCCGTCGTCGCCGTCGTCGTCAACTGCGACTCTGTAGTCTATCTCGCCTTGTTGGCAGGCATGATAAGAGCAGGACTAGTGGTGCGTCTTGCCTCGGCTGCGTCCTGGCGGTTGGAGACGCTGAGCACCGTCCTGGACCTTTCAGCCGTTCCCCATGTCTCCCAGGAACTCTGCTCCCGCGATAGTCAGCATGCTCAAGCGCACATCCTGCCACCGGATGATCTGCCAGCCCAGCCTAGACCCCTTGCTCGCCAACATCCAGTCCGAGCTCGAGTGCGACAAACACGCCCTTCAGGTCGACGCCCTCCCCGAGCTCGAGGACATTTTCCCATATCTGAGCGGAAAGAGCGCCTCGGAGCCGTGCAAGCCCTACCCGCCTGGCAACAAGACCTTTTCCGCAGACGACACCGTCTTCTACCTTCACTCGTCCGGCTCCACCGGCTTTCCAAAGCCAGTCCCCCAGCGCCAGGCCGCCATGCTCCACACCTGCAACGCCTGTGCGCACCCCTTCCGTGCCTCTCGCAAAGTCGAAACGCAGCTGCTGACAGCCTTTGCTCACCACAGCGATCATCGTCGACGCCGCGGTCCGCGGCGTCGTCTGGGGCGCCATGGCGCTGCCCACGTTCCACGCCATGGGCATATACATCCAGCTCTACGCGCCTCTCGTGAGCGCACTGCCCGTGTGCCTGTTCGCGCCCCGGGCGCCCGCGTCGCCGGTGGTCCCCACCCCGCGCAACACCCTCGACGCCGCCGTGGCCGCGCGGTGCACCGGCATCCCGACCGTGCCCGCTTTCGTCGACGTAAGGCTGTGTTTTATCGTGTGCCTGCCCCGTAATGTTGGGTGCTCACACGCTCCCTCCTGCCAGGCCTGGGCGCAGTCGAAGGAAGACGTAGAGTACCTCAAGACCCTGAAGATCGTCGTGAGTACCGCAGACGTCCTACACAAAAAAAATGCCCCGTCGCTCACCCGGCGTCTTCCCCTCCCCAAAAAGGCATTCGCTGGCGGGCCGCTGTCGTCCAAGACCGGCGGCGAGCTCGTGGCGGAGGGCGTCCGCCTCTACCCCTGGTACGGCGGCACCGAGTTCGGGCCGCACACGAGGGTCTTCGACATGGCCGACGACGCCCCGCCGAGCGCGGCTCCGGCCGACGCGAAGACGCGGGCGGACTGGGAGTGGCTGTCGTTCTCGGAGCGCGTGCGCTGCCGGTGGGTGCCCGAGGGCGACGGGACGTTCGAGCTGCAGTACTTGGTGAGTCAACGGCGCTGAGATAGCCGGTGGTGGTGGGCCGAGGGGGGGCTGACATTCGTGCAGACGTGTGCGACGCACCGGCCGAGCGTCGAGAACTTGGAGGACACGAGAGGGTATGCGACGAGCGACTTGTGGGAGCCGCACCCTTCGAAACAGGGCCTGTGGCGCATGTAAGCCTGTTTTTGGTCGGTCACGAGAAAAAGAGGAGAGTGCTGATCGTGGTGGTGCTTCGTGTAGAACCGGTCGCAAGGACGACGTGATCGTCCTCGGTTCTGGTGCGTCATGCGAATGTGTCCTCGAGTAAGCTGAGCTTGACCGGCGTGGCAGGCGAGAAGGTCGTGCCGATCCCGCAAGAAGGGCTCATAGCCTCGTCGCCCATGGTACACGGAGCGGTCATGTTCGGCCGCGCCAGAAACCAGTGTGGCGTTCTCGTGGAACCCAGCGAGGGTCATGCCATTGACACGAACGACGCCGTCGCTCTGTCGGTATTCAGGAATATGATATGGTATGTCGTTCCGCGGAGAGTTAGAGGATGATGGCTCAATGCCCTTTAGGCCGGTTGTTGAGGAAGCGAACCGCGCCGCTCCTGCGTTCGCAAAGATATTCAAGGAAATGGTCATCATCACAGACCCAGCTAGACCTCTACCTCGCGCCGCCAAGGGGACAATCGTCCGGAAGCAAGCGCTAGCTGTTTATGAGAGAGAAATCAACAACTTGTAAGCAGCCACAAGCGAAGCCCATCGCGACTGACACGATCGCGTTTGTTCAGGTATGCGACTGTAGAACAGAGCGGGAACACCGAAAACATCCCGCCGCCGCCTTCCTGGACGGTCCCCGACGTGCAAGCGTGGCTCCAGAAACACGCCTGCATCCTGACCAACCGCGACACCATCCCGCCGTCCAAGGATCTGTTCGACCAAGGGTTCGACAGGTGAGCCCGTCTTTTCGCTCGCGCAGAACGCGCCCCCCCCCCTGCCTGACGAGGCCCCGCCCGCGAGCCTGTACCGCGACGTTCCTCCGGAACCGCAT